AGATCTGAACAAACCCTCTGAGATTGAAGTTCAAGAGTGTTTTACACCGAGTAGAGGATATACAAAATCTATAACTAAAATAGAGTTTTCTACACCGAGCAGCAGAGATAAAAAGTCTACAACTAAAATACGTAAAAGGCTTGAGTGGGGAAAAATGGACCCCGTACTAGAAGAAATTAACAGGATTTATTATGATACATCTAATCCCGCTGGTTTTGGTAGTATTGATAAATTATCAAAAGCTATGAAGGGTAAAATGAATAAAAAACAAGTAAAGGAATGGTTAAAATCATAAGAAACATACACATTACATAAACCCATTCGAAAAAAATTCCCGCGTAATAGGTACATTCTATCAAATATTAATGAACTGTGGCAAGCTGATTTAAGTGATATGCGAACTTTTTCTCAATATAATGATGGTTTCAAGTATATACTTTGTGTTATTGATGTATTTAGTAAATATGCTTTTGCAAGACCAATGAAAAAGAAAAATTCTGAAAAAAATAAAGAATGTTTTGAAAGTATATTTACTGAAAGTAGTTTAACACCTACTCACATACAATCTGATAAAGGTACAGAATTTGTTTCAAAAGATGTACAAAAATACTTTAAATCCAAAAAAGATTAATTACTATACCACTAACAATCCTGACATTAAGGCCAGTATTGTTGAACGATTTCAAAGAACACTAAAAATTAAAATGTGGCGTTATTTCACTCATAATAATACTTATAGATATATAGATGTTTTACAAGATTTAATATACTCTTATAATCACTGCTTTCACTCTAGTATTAAGATGTGCCCATGTGATGTAAATTCCAACAATATTATGACAGTTTGGACTAATCTTTATGATAGACGGTCAAACAAACTTTCTTTAGAAAATCCTAAACCAAATTTCAATGTGGGTGATTATGTTCGAGTAACTAAATATAAACATGTTTTCCAAAAAGGATATGAATCAAATTGGAGTGATGAAATATTTATTATATCTTCAATAATTGATAGATCTCCATGGGTTGTTTATACAATAACAGATTTACAAAATGAACCAATAGTTGCTACTTTTTATGAAAGAGAATTACAGAAAATCACTTACAACCCCACCTCACAATATAAAATAGATAAAATAATTGATACTCGTTATTCAGGTAACAGAAAAGAAGTATTAGTGAAGTGGAAAGGTTATCCAGATAAATTTAACAGTTGGATTTTAGCTTCTAGTTTAAAAGAAATATGAACAAAGAAAGTTTTTATTTAACTTTGCTCAGGATTAGTTCAATGGAATACTTTCCTGATAACAAGACCACAAATTTTTCAATGAAGTTACCAAAAGCTATTAAATTAGAAGATGAGTGGTCGGTTGGAGTTGTCGAGTTTAATATCCATGTACCATGTTTACTGTTCAAGATCATGAAAATGTTGTATACATTACAAAATCTATGTTAATGCCTAATGAAGATAAACCATCCATAGTGTACTACAAAAAACATATTCCAGCTACCAACTATGATAACGTTGAGCATATTTTAAGAGTGTTAAATGGTATCGGAGAGAATTTGAAATTTCGCTATGATGAAATAACAAAATTTGTGTCTATTTCTGTTTTGGATAAAAATATAACATCCAAAACATTATCACCCAAATTAAGTTTACAACTAGGTTAGGAACCAAATAAAACTCTCCTAGAGAGAAATTTTGGAAAGTGTCCAGCTAATTTACACTTAGGGTTACCATCTCAACTATTTCTAAATTGCGACATTATCGATCCTCAGATTGTGGGTGATGTTATGACTCCTTTACTAAAAGTCATTTCATTAGATCCTACAAAACACATTTATGGTGCAAATAAAATGCACGTTTTCTCTCAACCTCACTACTTACCTGTTATGCGAAGAGAGTTCGATACGCTGGAAATAGTTATAAGATCGAGCACAGGACAAAAAATACCATTCCAGTTTGGAACCGTGTGTATTAAACTACATTTCCGAAAATTATAATAATGAATTCTCTTCGTGATCATCATAAATGTCTATATGAAAATTATTATACACATCAAGCTGGGTCTGGAGTTGGAGTAATTTATAAGGGTGCACCATACCAACGCGGTCATGGTATTGGGAGCTTCTTAGGGGGGGTTATTTAGATCAGTTTTACCTTTACTTTCAAGTGGTGCTCGAGTGATTGGTAAGGAGGCATTAAACGCTGGAGTAGGACTTTTATCGGATATGGTTCAAGCGCGTCCTGTGGAAGCCTCAATAAAAGATCGTCTAAAGCAAGTTAGTACAAATTTAAAACGAAAGGCTGATGAGAAAATTGATCAATTTAACATGACAGGATCTGGGTATAAAACTAAAAGAAAACGATTGACCTCTTTCATTCCTCCATTAACTGCTAAAGTGCAAGCTGCGAAAAAACTTGGTCACAAACCAAAAAATAACAAAGATATATTTTCAAATTAAATATGTCTATCCTTCATAATCATTCTTGCGAGTGCGTTAAGTCAGAATTGGATTTGTTTGCACTACCGTCTACACAAACTAGCATTGAAAATGGATTGTGGATTCATTATAAACCAATTTCATCTCTTGGTGATGATGGACCTATCGAGTTTCAAGTTCCTGGGACAGGCGATGACTACATAGATTTGTCTCATACATTACTCCACATAAAGGCAAAAGTATTAAATCAAGATTCAACTAACTTGATATCTACTACAATAGTAGCACCTGTAAATAATTGGCTGCATTCACTTTTTAGTCAACCTGATGTTTATTTAAACCAAAAACTTGTATCACCACCTAATAATACCTATGCATATCGAGCATACATGGAAACCCTTTTAAACTATGCTCCTGCTGCTAAACAATCTCATCTTACTTGTAGTCTTTGGTAGTGATGGATTAATTAGCGTTAGCATTCATTATTAGTATGCGAATGCTCATTTAGCATTTAGCAAATGAAATGTAGTTGCGAAATTCTGTGAAGTGCGAAGTGAATTAATCGCTTCGTACTTCGTTCATAGTTCATACTATTGATGCACGATAGTGTCGCGGCACTCAGCGAGACAGCGGCAGCATGCGCTCTCCGTCGCACCCACAGGAATACTAAATCTATCTGTTTCACGTGACCCTGACTTTTAGCAGGTGCATTTGATGCGAAGAATAAGGTTAGGTAATTATTATCTTATTATCTTTGACTTGGTCGTACTTAGGGTCGTATATTGTATGAATGCGTGTGATCGTTTAATTCGTTAAAGTTATTAGCAGGGTGATGCGAAGAATGGGATTAAGTAAATTATTACCTTATTATCTTTGGTTTCCTAGTATTTAAAGTCGTATATTGAATAAATGCGTGTGATTATTTAATAATAATTTGTGTGACACGTGGGTGGCGTGCGTCGTATTGTAATTTATTGTGTCAACATTCAGTACGTTTTGGCAAGTGATAGCGAAAGTTTAGTTTTCTAAATTACACTCTTCTGTTACGCTTATTATTGTACAGTATGAACTCATTAGGTACCTATCTGTAAATAATAGTAGGTACTTACTACCTAGTAAAAAGTAGTAGTAGTAGTAGTAGAAGAAGAAGTGGCTGTGTATAGTATAAAAGTGTAAATAATAATTTTAGGTTTTGTATATAAATATTTTAGTGTAAGTAGGTAAATAAACTTTTGAACGTGAAAATGTCTCACCGAACTAACCCTATATGGGATTATTTTTCAAATGTTGCTGGAGAAAATAAAATTGCTAACTGTAATCAGTACTCTAAAAACCTTTCATACCGAACATCAATCACCAATTTAAAAACCCATCTAAAACTAAAACACATTGGCCATTACAATAGCTTTTTAGCCGAAAGTGAACCGACTCGGTCCCGTTTGGTACAGGTGCGTCAGCTGCAGAGTACTGATGCACCTGCACCTTCGCAACCAGTTCAACCAGGATCTGAGCCGTCTACATCAGTGCACCAGGAGTACTATGTTGGGAAATCCCGACAGGAAAACACTGCTACCAGAACCGGGACCCAAAGAAATATTTTAGAATATGCACGAATTCGAAGACCTTTACGTACCGAAGAAAAAAAGCATATAGATGCCATGTTTTTGAAGCTCATTGCAAGAACGTACAAACCGTTCTTTATCGTTGATGAACCTGATTTTGTAGAATTTGTAGAGGCGTTAAACCCTAATTATATTTTACCGGGACGTAAAGTGTTATCAGAAAGGCTAATACCATTTTTATACAACAGATGTTTAGAAAACCAAAAAAGGATATTGCGTCAGGAAGCAGTAACAATTTGTCTAACTACCGATTGCTGGACGTCTGTTAAAATTGACGCTTTTATAGGTGTCACTGCTCATTTTATTAACAATGACTTTGAATTTAAGTCAGTGTTGCTGAAATGCAGTGTAATGCATGGTGGAGACACAAGCCAAAATCTTGCATCAGTTTTAAGAAATACGTGTATGGAATGGGGTATATTAGATAGGATTAATTTTTGTGTAACGGATAATGCTGCCAATATAGTCGGAGCAATCAATATTTTAGGCTGGACACATTGTGGCTGCTTGGCTCATAAGCTGAACCTCACTTTGCAGCACCCGTTAAGAATATTGGACGACACTTTAAAAAAAGTAAAGAAAATAGTGACGTACTATCGAGCTAGCTACAAGGCCAAAGAAAAGCTTATGGAGTACCAAGCCAAAGTACAAGGCACTAGTCAACCTTTGGTACTGATCAATTCAGTGCCAACAAGATGGAACTCCACCTATTTTAAGATAAAACGCTTTGTCCATCTTCAAGATGCCGTCAGAGCAACGGTACCAATTCTCGACGTAGATTTACATATAATAACAGGTGAAGAGTGGACCGCGCTTAGACAGCTCTGCAAAGTATTAAAACCATTTGATGAAGCGACGAAAGAACTAAGTGCAGAAAAATATGTGTGCGCTTCAAAAGCTAATGCCGTCATAAGCGCGTTGAATGATGTGATGGAAGAGCTAAAACGAAAACCAGCTTATTTTGTTGCTATAAAAAACATAGTTCAATGCATCGAAACCCAATTAAAAAGTAGATTTGGAGATCTTGGGCACGAGCAATCTTTGTCATTGTGCACAATATTGGACCCGAGGTACAAAACATCAATGTTCATTGACGAAAGTGCAGCTGAAAGGGCCAAGTCCAACCTTGTCACAAAGGTCTATAATCTCATGACAGACGGGACAGAGCTAACTCCTTTAGCTACCGCGGAACCTCAGTCAAGCAGAGAGGACGACGAGGAAATTAGTGTGTGGAGAAAAAGAAATTCAATCTTAGAAAAAAGAAGGGTTAACCCTAACCAAAATCTTTTTCAAACCGCTCAACGGGAAGTAGAATTGTCTGCAAGATGAGTTTGTACAAAATAGCTGTGACCCTTGCGAGTGGTGGCGATCCAGCGGCCGATACAAATATCCGCATCTCGGCAAGTTATTTATTACAAACTGCAACATAGTTGCGACTTCAGTGCCCAGTGAAAGACTTTTTTCAAAAGCTGGTTACACGTTGTCAGAGAGAATAACAAGGCTTTCTGTCAAAAAACCGAACAGTTGGTATTTTTAAATTTTAATTTGAAAAATTCTGACTACAAAAAACTAATGCCATAAAAGAACATACAGTCGAATTGAGAACCTCCTCCTTTTTAAGAAGTCGGTTGAAAATGTTGAATAAATTTGCAAATAATGTACATTATATGTAAAAACTAAATCATGTAAATACGATCAAGTGAACTTATAAATACGCCAGTTTATAACATTTTACTGCCAGTTCTAAGCCTGGATAAAGTATGAGGGAAAGTTCACAAAATCTTAAACATCAAAAGGTTTTAAATTGTTAAATATCTTTAATTATAATATGATCATTCATTATCTTAATCACAACACAATACAAGTGTACTAGTAGAAATAAAACGTTATCGGCCAGGATACTAAACGCACGCTAGGACACGACGTCCTCCTTCCTTCATAAGCCGAACGCGCTCTTAATTCGTATAATAACAAAATTCATATAATTATTTAGGTAATATCAATTATAGTTATATTAGCAAATAGCATAGCAATAGCAATTAGCACGCTAAGACTCAAGAATTCGCATGCTAATGAAATTTATGCAAAATAGCATTAATTACCATTACTAGTCTTTGGTATGATGATACAGCAGGAAAAATGGATTCTACGGATGGTAAAAACATAGGATTTGTTAAAAGACAGGAATTGATTAGTGAAAGTAAGGAAATAGAAATGATTGGTCATCTTCACGGTGACATTTTCAACCAAGATAAATTTTTAATTAATGGTGTTGAAATGAGTGTTAAATTGGTTCGATCAAGAGAGAGTTTTAATTTAATTGCTGGGTCAAACGATGTAAAGTTTAAAGTCTGCATTACGGACGTAACTCTTATTGTTCGACGAGCACGAATTAATCCAAGTGTATTACTCGCACATCAAAAAGTTTTAGCTTCTACCACTGCTAAATATCCTATTACTCGAGCTGAAGTAAAAGTTTTAACAATTCCATCGGGTGTTCAAGGAAAAACTCTTGGTAATATAATTTTAGGACAGGTACCCAAAAGATGTATAACTGGATTTGTGACCAATTCTGCATTTAATGTTTCCCTTACTAAAATTCATTTAACTTTGAAAACTATGATATTAATTCTTTCAGCTTCCGGGTCAACAAATACCTTCAAAAGCTTTGCAACCAACTTTTAATAATAGTATATTTACATCAGCATATCATACTCTATTCTCGGGAACTGGTATTCACTTTTTTAATGAAGGAAATGAAATCTCTTGTGAACAGTATGCCAAAGGTTACTGTCTATTAGCATTTGACTTAACTCCTGATTTATCAGCCAACTCATCAGCTCATTGGAATCTCATAAAGCATGGTAGTGTAAGATTAGAAGTACGATTTGAATCCTCACTAATACAAACAATTAACTGTATAGTTTATGCTGAGTTTGATAATATTATTGAGATAGATAAAAACAGAAATGTTACTTTAGACTATAGTAGTTAAGGTTATAATATGTGTTGTGTGTTAGATTTTGAGTTATGTATAATGCATTTTGTGTGTATGTAACTATGTAAATCGTTATAAAATTAAATAAAACAAATTGTATGCGATATATTATTTTTTATTTCTTTACGTAAATCTTCTATTTAATCTAATACAAAACACTGTTCGAGTATAAAGTTACATAGGACTCTTTCATTAGATCATCAATAATAACGAGATGTGGGTTTTCACCATCAAACATATTAAGATTTGGAATTCCTTGATGATAGTTAACATTTGGTAAACTATATAAAGCTTGCATTTCATCAAAGCACCATGTGATCTGATTAAAATCACAATTACGTATTTCTGTAACTGATTTTATGAAATTTGTTACAAAATTTGACTTCCCACATCCACTTGGTCCTGCCACAATAGCAGTAAACGGATGTATAAAGTGAAACATTATGCACGTCTAAAGTTCTAAGGGGTGAAATAAAAAATGAAAGTGTTGGTGTAAACAATTAACATATATTGTGTACTATAACTAATGTTTTTGGGAAATCAAACAAATCTTATGATTAATTTAAAATTTTATTTTGAAGCAATAACCACTTGTAAAAAAACCACACTTCGTCACAAGAACAATGTAAAAATTTGTGATTATTTTTTGCAAATATATGATTATTACACACATAACGTTTGTTTAAATTTATGACATTTACCAAATCATTGTCATTTTGGACATTTGTATTCTTCAATATTAAAAATTCTATCATTCGTCGTCAACATTTTTAAGAATTGTTTTTCTGTTGAACCACCTTTGTATGCGATCACTTCGTCTTTGCACAAATTTCTAATATACCAATTTAATATGGGGATGATGTTCTCTTGTTTGTAGGCATATTTTAATTCTTCGGTCACATCAAAATATGGAGTGCCGTGCACGTGTGTTTCACAATAACGAACAGTTTTTTTATCTTTTGGCGACAAATAATTGAAATGATAACTTGGCCGAAACAAATAATGATCGATAAACGCATCATTTTTATTAGATAGTTTTACGTCTAGAATAGCCATTTCTCTACATTGAAAATGTTTATGAGGATATGTAATGTAAAATCCGTCCATATCCATGATGTATCTAATATTTTTTATAATTTGTTAACACTAAATCATACACACGTAAGAAAATAACAGAAAGAAAAGTAACTTTGTCAATAGAATAAACACTTAAAATTGCAATTAACAATTTAATTGGTGCCGGCGGGGATCGAACCCGGGTCGCGTACTGTGAAATTTACAGCTTGCGCTAACCATCCGAGCTACCACGGCTAATATAATACACACACAATATTTAAATATAATTTGTTAACACTAAATCATACACAAGTAAGAAAATAACACAAAGAAAAGTAACTTTGTCAATAGAATAAACACTTAAAATTGCATTTAACAATTTAATTGGTGCCGGCGGGGATCGAACCCGGGTACCGTTAAATTTACAGCTTGCGCTCATTGCCATCTGAGCTACCACGGCTTAATCATATACACAAATAATATTTAAATATAATTTGTTAACACTAAATCATACACACGTAAGAAAATAACAGAAAGAAAAGTAAGTTTGTCAATAGAATAAACACTTACATCCATGGCCTTTGATGCGTTGAAGTAACACAAATGTAGTATTGATAGATCCACTGCGGTCAAACGACCATACACTAACTCCATGACCGCACTTGCTTGGTCTTATATAGTACCAGTAAGTAATAATTCTAATCTAAAGAATTTCTGCAGTGGAATTGATAGTAATTTTATTCGTCAACAAGCTTATCTCAACATTACTTCGTGTCGCGTCTTGTTCGGTGTATTGATGACTCAAATACGTTTTGTATAACACAAAATAATGCAATTTAATATTTAGAAATCACTATAATTGATCATTCCTATGTTAGTCATTGAGTAGATTGTACTGTAATAATCTACTAGTAGCAGTAATATCATGGATACACTAGATGTACAACAACATCTGAAAAAGATTCACCACAGTCTAGAAAATAATGTTTATGCTGCCAATAGACTGCCCATGTACACCCACGTGCCAACGTATATAATATGCAATTTGGATAAAGATGATAAACCAGGGTCACATTGGGTAGCTTTATATATCGATACGAATGACGTCGGTCAATATTTTGTTTCATACGGACGAGCACCTGTACGATATCATCTAGAGTTTTTAAAAAGGAATTGTAAAAGATGGAACTGGAATGTTGATAGGATTCAGAATGAGTGGACTTCAGTTTGTGGCGAATATTGCTTAATGTATTTGCTATATGAGTTTCAGGGATGTTCAATGCATAGTTTTACGAGTATATTTACAGGGAACACATTGTACAACGACATTTTAGTGGATGAGATGTTTCGCTCCTATTTTATAGATAATAAGTAATAAGATTTTGTATTTCGTAAATAAAAATTGTAACAAAATTAGGTAATGTATTTTATTGATGATTCAGATTACCGTTGCAGTTAGGAACAAAGGAGTATAATATAATAGCACTGATAATCCGACGCACGAATAGACAATGACGGTATTCAATGAACAATAGATAAATAACAATGGGGCGCTAATGACGGTGGAGGCCCTCACCGGATATCAATTAGATAAGAGTTAATTGATCTGCAAATCTCCGGAACCGTGCATCCTACGCAAAAACGGACCGCAGATTCGTGATCAGAGCATGCTAAAACCTTTTTTTTTTAGGATCGTGAGTCGACGAACATCGTACTTGTACCACTTCTGACTCAGTGTGCCAGAACTGGTACTAACTAACTACTTAAAACCTACAAACCGCCGAAGAAGGTTAATCATTTTTCCATCCAAATCAAACTCAAATGTTAATATTCCTCTACAAAATGCAGGAATATAAAAGCTTGATAATGGTTGTGATCTCTCTTACATATAACAAACAAAAAGATTCATAAAAATCCGCGTAAAAAAAACATAGTTGACGTGAAGTACAGGTGCTAACGGAAATCTGCAGTCTGTAACCCACCATTACATCACATTATCCAACAATAGTTATTTAAAAGCACTGACTCGATTATTTTATTTAGTATAAGGTAGGAGGAAGAGTGTCGTTCTATTTTTGTAAATTTCTTGTATTATTTTAATAAAATGGAAATAAATCAAAAGAACTTCTGAAATTAGGTGTAAACGTTTTTTTAAATACCTTCAGAGCGGCCCTTCTAACAAATTTTGTATCAAGAAAAGTGGGATGTCACAAGCTCTACTCATATATCGGTAGCAAGGTAACCGAATCCTGGAAAACTCTGAAGAAAAATCTAC